AGTCCAAATTCTAAACATTAGTAAGAGCTGTCTCCACTCGCCCCGTCCTCACTAGAGTCGATGTGCATGCGGGTTGCCCATGTCCCGGACATGGAAGCTTCAGTGTTTAGCTCTGCATTAGTCTTGTAAACCTTTCTGCGTTTTAACTCCCATCGTTTTTTTCAAAAGCATCACCAATATTTATTCTATTTTACCTCATTTCTGGTTGTGGAACTGATGAGGAAAAAAAAGCTTTTAATGTCGGGTATAATCAGTTATGTCCATACCAGTTCGCTTTCACACTTCCATCTCTGCAACACCCGCCTGGCAAAAACCGAGGGGCGTCCAATTTAGCTGTGTGGGGGGTCCCTTAAAACCGCTTCCTTCTCTGGTCAAAGCAAATACAGACTGGAATGAAAACTTAGCACATACTGTGCTGCTGCATTGTTGTCAGAGAAGCCAGCACTTCAACACAGCATGATTTCCTTAATGTCTGATCATATAGTAAGGTCATTCAAGGGTTTCATTCAGTAGATATATCACATATTGCTCCTTCAAATAGATCTTGGTCTCATTTGAAAGATTAAAACCAGCAAACCTTTTTCTTCACTGTGATATAATGCTAGAAGTATACTGCTAAATTGTAAGATCTCAAGAACTCCTGTGCAAAAACAAACTATCAGCAGCACCGGTGTTGCATCTGGCAGCAAAAAAAAAAAAGACAAGAAAATAAGACCTTGAAATCCCCACCTAGCCACATAAAGCACCACCACTTTTCTCCACCACTGCAGTATGTATTCTTCACGTCCCCTTTCACCCTTCGCTTCCTCCTCTCCATACCTTGAGGAGACGTGGGGAAAGAGTTAGCAGCCGGAGCCTGGTTGCTCAGCCCTCGAGGGAAGAGTTTGATTTCAGCCTCAAGGATTCGGGTCACTGCACAGAGAACTGGACCCTGTGTTTCTGTATTCCCTCCTCAGACCTCCAACCCTCACTCACAGTGTTGCCCTACCATGCTCCTCCTTTGTGTCCTAATGCTTTGCAGATGCCTCCAAAACCTTAGATAAAGCCAAAAAATAAAGGCCAGACTCCCTGTGGCATGTCCTTATATAATTTTAAATATTAGCCACCTTGCTAACAAGCCTTCTCACGTTTACTTTATTATCGAAATAATGCCTCCTCTTCCTCAAACCAGGTTAATTGGGCTGCTAAATAGGGGCTTCTGTAATTACCTGCTACTTTCTAGCATGCCTAATGTGCCTGCATGTTGACTAATATTTCCCTCCAGAGCTCTTTTAGTGGGCTAATGCTTCGAAGGCATTCAGGCATGTTCTGCTAAAGCCCATTGTGCATGCTTAATGCCAACAACCACCCACACGTGATACAAGCCAACCTTTTACTTTGACCTGCTTTCCTTTACAACAGTAAAAGCACATGCTATTGATCCAATTAGCTATCACTGTATTGGTCAGGATTAACAGAAGGTTTCAACATCTGTATGTTCTGAAGCTGCATCTGATTAGACATTAAAAACAATTAACCCCGGACAGTCGAGTACAGCACAGCATCTTCTTGAGTAATGAGTGATTTTTTTTGTCAGACGTATAGAGCTGGACCAGAAACTGCTTACACCCCTGCCTCTCTCTTGATTGGAAGTTGTTTATAGAGCTTCGAGGTCGTGTTTGCCTTTCAAACCAAGCACAGCATGAATAGCTTAACAGGCTCCCTGGGAGTGTTGCTACAGCAAAGTACTTTTCATGCCGCCGCTGTTTTCCACTAAACAAAACGCATTCATTGGCCCCCTGTCCTCACCTCACCTCCTTGCTAAGTTACACCCAGCCATTTCCAGGTCTCACACCGTTGTGTTGTCACCCTGTGTGGATCGTTTACCATTGGCCTGTTCAATTAACCCAGCAGTCAGCCGGCATGCATATCAGAACATTTGTAGCATGGGCTGAAGATGGGGCAGTCCTTCATAAGGCCATGTGCTCTTTGGTTTAACTGTCATTTACAAAGGCTATACTCATTACAGGCTTTTCCATTTACTAACACAAGTTTTCAACCATTTTTGTATAAGCGATACTACAAATATAAAGAAGAGAAATAGAAAGGAAAGACTGGATTTTTAAATAATAGAGATCACATTTTTTAATGTGGAAAATTGGGCTAGCTGATGATTTTGCTGGTTGCTATGGCAGATGCTTTTTCACCAGTTGACTTGAATCCATCATGCCCCATTAAGCCATAGGAGTTACCTTTTTTTCAGTTTAGCGCTACATCAAACTCCAAAGCCTACAGGAGTCTCACGATTCAACCTTTTAGACACACATTTACTTATCAGAGTCTTCCTCAAGTACTTCCATTTCTCACATCGCCATCCTTTAGACTTACTATATAAATGACCTATGTGAAGGATTTAAGCCAGCTACTGAGCTAAAGTTTTGACGACTCAGCTTGCAGACCCCCAAAGCCCCCAACAAGAGCTTTAAAGAGATTCTGGCATTTGTCATGAAACATACTTTTAGAGAGGAGAAGACTGATTTTGTTATTTTTTGGTCACCAATTACAACCTTGCAAATGATTAACACTGAAGGCAAGCCAAAACCGAGCAACCCTTCAAATTTGCAGCTCAGCTCACATCCTCTGACGATCAAGAGCACCAACCAAAACACCAGCTGTGGATATTTCGACTCCTAGACATTAACGATTACCACTGAAGGGCTATTTTGAGATTCAGTTTTTACAAGTATGCGAACCCGTCATGCTTTTGATCTGGCATGGCTCTATGGACATGAAAAAAATCCTAAAAAATCCAAAGGACAATCAGTTGACTGATCAAATCTAGATTGATTAGGGTCTTTAGATTCGATTATTGTGGTCAAGACTTCTGATTGGAATCATCAACCTCAAGGAGACAGCCCTAAAGAGAAATGTACCGGGTAAATGACAAAGTGAACACGGCGGTTAGCATCGCTTGGAAATCTTAAACATTCCTGTGTGCTTGAACAGTGGAAATCAGCATCGTTAACTTCACTGTGGCAAGCCTGGAGCAAAAAGGACAAACATCCTGGCAGATATCCTGCCATATCTGAGGCTCGGTCTGTCCACAGCATACTTTCCACTAAGAAACATCCAGGCACTCTGCAGTTGCCTCTCATTTAAAAGATATTGGCCATTGAATGGAACGCTGTCCATTTATTGTGTATTAGAGGTCATGACGTCCCGCATTGCTACAGATGGATGGGATGAGGCGAGGGTCAAGTCCCGCTCTCTCTGTGTCCCACTTTTGGTGACAATGAAGCATATTCTGGTTGCTAGCACAGAGCGATCTTGGTGGAGAGGTCAGTATAAAGGCTTTATTCATCGGCTGTGGCCGGTCACAAAGAGACAGATGCATCAGATCACAGGGGTGGGGGGATGAAGGGATGGGACAGAGAAAGAGCAAGAGCAAAGCACAGTGACACTAAAGCATCCTGAGACATCGCTTTTTTGCTGCTTGTCTGGTTTGTCTGCGCTTACAATGTCTCCCTGCGTTCATGTGGGTTATTAGCCGGAGTGCGGTCGCAGCAAGAGCCGAGAGGAGGTTTTCATTAACCTCATGCCGTGAGAGGGCACTACCTTGACTGCTGGCTATGCGTGCTCCGAAGCTGTTCTCTGCTCTCCTGGCACTGCGGCATAATCTTCCAGGCCTATTTGCACTGCATCATACCTGACAAGAGGAGAGGTCCCTCATTAGCTGTTTCACAAGCTAGGTCAACTGTCCCAAATCAAGCATACACTCTCAGAGCCGGGTGGTTGACCCTGAATCTTAGAGGACATCCAGGATCAATTACATGCAATGCCTCTTTGTGGGCATGAATTCAAACTTGTCATCCACTCCAACACGCCTGCCTCTACACCTACTGACTTCACACACATCCTTTTGTTATCCAGAGATAAAGCAACAGCCATCACAAGCAATCTGGTACTCCTCTTCTAATTACAGTTATGTTGCCATCAGTCATCTATAAAGCACTTCTCTCTCTCTCTCTGGGGGTTGATATTAGAACCTGTGTTGTGTTTATTTTTAAACAGAATAATGTACTTCGAAAGTAGAGAGATGCTTCCTTGTTGGATTCTGCTCTTTATTACAGAATTGTGCTTTTGTGTTATTACACAGCTGCTGCCTGTTTCTATAATTTTCCAAATGTACTGCAGGAGGATGACGGGGCTAAATTAAGGTTGGATGAAGGTTTTGAAAAGCCCTTTGGGAAAACAGAAAAAGACACATGATTTTGAATAGTACAAGAGGCAGTAGAGAGTAGAGAGCAGGAAGGAAGGGAGGAAGGATGGGAGGGAGGCTGCAGAGTGACGATGGACAGATTGTCAGGTCTGCGTTTCTATAAATAGCTATCTTCACCTTGATCTCTCACTTTGCCAATCTTTTTTTAACACAATTCCAAGTCCGAAAGGCACTATTGACAAGGGCAAAGGTGGACAAGCCTAGCGCAGCAAACCTCATACATAAGCACACTTAAAACTCTGTGTCACCCCCCCCCCCCCCCCCCCCCATCCATAGCTTAGCCCTGTGGCATAATCCCATTAGAATCCATTAAGCAGGGCATCTTAAAGTGATCCTCCTTCTCTCTGAATGTGGGTAGAGGTCGCCTTCTTTCTGACGGGACGAGGAAGGGAGGGAGAGAAGGAGTATAGAAAGAGGATGGTGGTGCTGCTTTGGGAGTCACATGACTAATTTGTGTCTGTTGCGGGGAGTACGGGCAGTCGGCCAAAGTCATTCCTCCCTCTCTCTCCCCATCCTTCACTCTGTTTCTCTCCCTCTCCCTCAAAACACATGCATTTCTTAGCGTTGCCAAAGCCAATTGCATGCATGTGTGTTTGGAGCAAGTGCTGTTTTCTTTTTTCCCATTCAGGAGTGTTAGAATCAATATGCGGTGACTGCATGCTTTGTTATTGACCTGGAGGGGGGGGGGGGGGCGCGTCTGCTGACCACTAACTATGTCCCTCTTGTGTTGCTTCTCCTTCAGGGACTATGGCTCCAAGCGCAAATCGGGTAAGTCACCTGTTTTCCTTCAGTATCCTATAGCTCACAGCCTTCTTTCTCTTTGAACTTGTTGCTCTTAATAAAACCCTTCCTTGGGATCCGAGGCAGGATGTTATGCTCTTTGGCATACGACTCTGACTCTCTCTCTCTGCGACTCTGTAATCCATGTGGTGTCAATGTGTGGTATGTTTACTTGTCCCGCTGTGGGATGCTGACTTACTGTCGACCGTGATTCGGTGGCGGTTTCAAAAAGCTGTCAAGCCCCTCTACTTCTGGCCATAGATTGCAGGGTGGGCTTTCAGAATTGCCTGATGGATCTTTGCGATGTGAAAATAGAGTCATTAACACTGTTCTCTGTTGTGGTGGTCGAGACATTTGACAGATTGTGAGTTTGCAGTGGTTTCAGTTTCAGGCTAAGCTCTTTTTGCATGACAGCCTACATGTCAGTAGATATTCCAAATCATTTTCAACAAGGAAGAAGAAAGAAATGTTCTCGTTATATACTGCAATGAAAGTATGCGCTTGTAAGAGGCTTGGGATTTTATCCGGATCTGTGTGGTCTTGTTTCTCAGGACTTAGGAGGTAAACACAGACTGTAATACTTCCATTAGAGCGAACAAACACAATTCTGTAAAGTAAAGAGTATAGCCTTGGACAGGTCTTGAACCTTTGCCTTCATATCCTGCATGTGAATGTAGTGCATATAAGCCAACAAAACACAAAACAACTTGCTTGCTCGATTACAAGACTTACTCTCTGTCAAGGATTTTTCAGCCTCATTAAGCATCTTTTCAAATGTACTGTAATGACAGGGGAATTTGCTAGTGTACACCTGCTTTACAAAAAAAAAAGTGAGTAACTCACATATGCATCTGGGAGACCTGTGTATTTAAGACTATGTAGGCTGAATAAACTAAGAGAAACACCAGTCTTTGCTCTTTTGAATTATTCTAGAGAAAAAGCTTGTGGTATGATTGTCTTGCCACAGATGCCGTTAAAGACTTCTTTGTATTGATATTTAACTCAAATATTGTGTATATGGATAGAAACATCTTGGGATACTTCTTCATAATGTAGGTTTTAAAGCAAAGCTGGAAGTAGCATGGGGATGGGGGGGCTCTTTGATTTGTTTCCTCATTCTGAAAAGTTGTGTGTAAGTTGAATTCTATCTCCTTCAGGTAAACAAGTCTTGACATTGATGGTGAGTTTATTTTTAGACCTAAAGAAAGGGAACTTTGTGACCCTCCCACAAGGCATTGATTTGTTGTAGTCCTGCGGGGTGCTTACCAATTCAATTACACTGACATTCCTCAAAGTGGTTTGAGTGTTCTTGGAAGCAGATCGCTGCTGCAGATAAGCCAGCTTGCATTATTTTCTCCACATCTCCTTAGTGAAGTGTTTTGCACTATGCTTTCAAACAGGTGGATTTTTTCATTTGTGTGTCTCTGCTTTGACCTGAAGTAACAAAGTCAGTCAGGGGGGGCTTTAAGGTCGTCTGAATGTCTATTCTTAGAATCACTTCCCGTCAGAATCGCATTTGTTAATTTCTATTTATCGGAATTGATTCAAAATGTCCCAAAGAAGTTTTTCAAAACGTACCATCTTACATCCTGAGTACATTTTCGCCAGCAGTAAGTTTGAGCATGGCAAACCCACTGCTGGCATTTTCTTCCATGCGCCCTCTCCACCTTCTTTGGTACATGCAGCAGATTGTTGGTCATGTCCTGGCTTGTCAGTTGCGCTGCTAACATTAGCTACATTAGCTAGCTCACAGTGTTGGTGATGTTAAAGCTGTGTCCAACATACCAACCTGCTGCCTGCATTGTCTATGGATCAGCAAGGCCTTCAGTGTGTTCCTTTTCAGTGATGGCGAGCATTTGAGCGCACTGTGGATTCTACAAACCACAGAGTAAGAGTGAGCCTGACCCAACATGTTCAACACGCAGCGTCTAGAAACTGAAAATGAATGACTTCAGGAACGATTCAAATGTTTAAGCACACATCATATGCCACTACCCAGAGTTAAAATAAATAGAACATCACTTTACCAATCTGCACCCAATTCTGAATGGACAATACAAATAACATCATCTATCGTCTGGTTCATTTTCAATGACCTGCTGATCACACCTTTACAACTATCGAGGCTGCAGCATCTTGAACACATTTCATTGAGCTTTCCTTAATGTCAAATAACCATTTGTGGGTTCTTTGGGAACAGCATGTTGGAGTCGATCCTGGAATCAGGAATCGAAATTTGAATCCAAAGTCAATTTTTAGATTGAATCATGACCCTAAGAATCGGACTTGAAATGAAATATGAAATATTGACAGATTCACACTCTTTGTGGACATAGAACCTGTGCTTTTCTTTGCATGGATAATGAATAAACACTCTACCTTAATGACACAAAGATATCAAGTTCTCTGAAGATTCCTCTGCACACAACCTCTTTTGTGAGGTTTCCTCTCTGCGGCTGCTCTCTGTGGAAGTCACTGAGATGATTTTGAAGGCTTACCGTTCTCTGTTTTTCAACCACAGTAACCCTCTCACCATCAACTAGGGTTTCAGCTTGTTGGTTGCCCCTGTTCATTAACTGTAAAATGGAGATTGTATCTATTACTGTTAACTCTAGCACTGTCATATGTATTTTTCAAAATGAATATTAAAAGACATGGTTTGACAATGTTAGCATTTGTTAATGTTAGCATAGCAAAATTCTCTACAAACAAGCCCAATAAACACTTCTCAACACTTCTTCTAATCAAGAGCTTGTATCCTGTTTGTTTAAAAGGTACATACAATTGTTTCATTATGTGTGATAAAAGCATCATAAAACTCTAATCTTGCCAAATTTGGAACCATCCATGTGTAAAACTATTGTCCAACATGTTCTGGACGTCCCCAACGTTAGCTGAAGAAAGATGGACATTTGACTGCTGTTTGTCATGAAATATTCAACTTCACGTGATTATACAAACTGTCACATGTCTGCTGGTGTTCCCGTAGTTACTTTGTAACTTGGAGCAGATTTTTTTTTTTTTTTTTTTTCTGTTTAGCCATAATGACTACTATGGCGTGCAGCATCTTCCTGTTCTTTCTGTTAATGCCAAACACAATGTTGTTGTTGCTGCTGCTGAAAACAAAAAATGAATCACTTCCACTGAAGCAGAGCACTTTTTCTAGGACACAGAGGATGTTTTTAACAAAGCATGTCCACTGGTTTCTTTTTTATTGACTCAGTATTGTGAAATACCAAGTCAGTTCAAATGCATTAGCATCTGGATTGTCTCAAATGTACAATTTTCAGTTTTAGTCTATCCAGAGACTCTCTTGCGTCACAGACAAATGCCATTAATGTCATGCTCATAATACACAGGATATATGATGAAGGTGAAGATGAGAACATCTTGGTAGTTCCTTACCGAAGAAAACAAAAACTATCCTTATGGAGCAAGGGGATGTAGATGTCAGAATTGTTTTTTTTTTTTTTTTTTAAACGTGCGGGTCAGATTCAGGGAGTTTCAGGGCTCATAGCTCCACACTTGCCCCACATTTCTGCAGTGCAGATGGAGCTCGTACTCCTTCCATGTGAGGGCCAGATTCAGAGGAATCAGAGGAATCAGAGGAGGGTGCTGTTTGGGCTGCAGAGGCTTGCGGGGGTTGAGACTGTTAGACAGGCACTAGTTTGTTTACGTGGCACAGTGGATAAGATTTCAGCCTGACTGGCCTGGTCATATTTATTCAGAGGAGGGAGCGAGGAGGGCTTGTGTCTTTTTGTGTGTTTCTGTGTGTTTTGACATGTGTAGGTTTTAGTGATCAGGGCTAGTTTGTGGACATAACTGTTAAGCTGTCTGAGCTAATTAGAATCTCAGAGCCAGGCTGTTGTTTGTACCATCAGGACCTCCTCTGTCAGTGGACATATTTATAGTATGACACTTACACACTCCATTAACCTGCCTCCATGTACCAACCTGTAGGACTCAAACCCGTCTTATGCTGACTTTTACACAGAGCACTTAATTTCCAGCAATAATAACGTCTGCACAATCTTATCAAATCAATACTGAAGATATGGTTAAGTGAGTATTGATTTAGGCAGAAAAATAACAGCTGCTGCAGGCTTGGGGAATATAATATGACAGAGAAAAATAAGTGAAACTATTGAATCTTTGTGGTTCATCTTTATTAAAGTCCACTCACGACTCCAGCCAGTGTGTCTAACTGTTGTTGGTTGACCTTTTTTGTTTCAACCTCAATGAGTGTCAGACTTAATAATCGAAGCACCCTAACTTATATTAAGGTAGAATATTTTCACAGTACAGCCAGATCTGGTTCCTTGCAATTCTACAATTCACTTAGCAGACGCTTTTATCCAAAGCGACGTACATCAGAGAGTAAGAACAACACAAGCAAGGATCTAGAAAAAAAGGGAACAATGTCAGTAAGAGCAAACGATCAGCTTTGAGTCTGATTGGACACACAGGTGCTGACAGGAAGTGACCAGAGGCAAAGCACAACATTGAGGGCAGTTCTTGAGAGCTCTAATCAGTATAGAAACCATCTTATAAGTCGACGTTATCAAACAAAAACCATCGTCATTACCATCATCATCAGTAATATGGAGACCATCATCATTACGTTAGTAGGTATTCATGACAGAGCTGGGTCTTTAGCTTTTTCTTAAAGGTGCAGAGGGACTCTGCAGATCCAATGGAGTTTGGAAGTTCATTCCACCATCGGGGGGCGACAGAGGAGCATGCAGCATGCACACGGCTATCTCTGCTGTAACCAAGCCATCTTCTTCACCTCTCAAAATCCTACACACATACAGAGCAGCTTTAAATCACCTCAGTACTGTCAAAGTGGCCTCCAATGTTCTCCAGTCAAAGTTCACGGGGAGTCTGCTTTTCCTGTGCCCTGAAATCAGTTATCCTCCCATGCTGCTCAGACATTTCAGTACTAACACCCTCTTAGCTAACTCGCTAAGGGCTACAATTAAAAACAA